ATATATATATATATATATATATATATATATTGGACAAGATAAAAGGAGAAGGAAAATAATCCTAAAGCAATTTGTGAGGGACTTATTCTCTAAATTTGTGAGACATTTGTGAGGGTTTTTGCAAGGAACATATTCGTTTATTTGTGAGGGATTGGCGAAAAAACCTTTCCCTCCCTAATTTGCGAAGGATTTGCGAGAACTATACTTATAGCTCATTAGCGAGGGATTTGTGACGAGAAAACTCTCTCGCTAGATGAAAAATTAATTTTTAATTTTTGCTAACAATTTGTAGAGGGATTTGCGAGACATTTGCAAGGGCATAAGTTTGTTGCTAGATAAGTATTAACTTTAGCAAAGAATTTGCGAGGAGATAAAGGTTGGTCGCAAAATGATTACTATTTAGCGAGAGAATTTAGCGAGAGGTATAATTTCAAGCTATTTTCTCGCTAATTAGGGAGAAAATAGCTTGAAATTATACCCCTTGCTAAATTCCCTCGGTAATCCGCGAAATTCTTGTAGTGTTTTAAGTTTTTTTTATATAGGTGTTTTATGAAGATAGTTGTTACAAAACCTTAAGAATTTCTCGCAAGGTTGCTTCATCTATCTTCATCTTCATTCCTTGTAAAGAGAAGTTTTCGTTGGTACATTAAATGCGTTTTACCAACTTGTCATTTCTTATTTGATCAAAAACAATTACTTATCATTTTTAAGGTACTAATTAAATAGAAGGAATTGTTGCGTGTGTTAGTCAGGAATGACTTTTTTTTAAGACTTTGCATGCTTCAAAGGATTTGTTTATCCTTTCTCTAACAAAAACATTGACTCCGTTCCTTTTTGAAGTGCAAGTACCAAAAAAACTTTTTTATTTCTTTTGATTTGTTAAGGAATAACATAAACAATATGATGTCATTATCAGACATCATAAATGATATATATTAAATACATTTGTCTTTATATACAAAATGGTCCGTCTTTACAGACAAAATGGTTCGTCTGAGGGACTATACGTCATTATAAACAATAGTCTTATTATAATGCATCTTATAGTATGATGCAAAAAACTTTTATCCGAAAAATATTTAAGTTTTTTAACATTAAAATTAATACTTTGAGGAATTTAAAATCGTCTTTTGATTAAGTTTTTTTTATTTAAAAAATAATATTAAATTTTGTAAGACAAGACGTCAATGTTATTTTATAGGAAATAAAATGCCTTGGACCAAGGAAGCAAACCCAAAAATGGGGGGGG